TTGTTCCCAGTAGCTGGATCTAAAACAACAACTTACATTACTTAGACCTCCGGGTTGTTTGGTCCAGTTTCGGGGTTTAAGGGGACTGACGGCTGAGTGAACAGCGCTCGGGATTCGTAGTCCTAAGGTTCCGGGTTTGATCCCGGAATAGAGATGGAAACAAATGGGCAGAGTTTCTTTCACTTTAATGCCCGTGTTCCCCTAGCAGTAAACAGGTACCTGGGAGTTAGATAGCTGTTTCATGGGGGTGTGTAACAAAAAGAAGGCCTGGCCGAGGACCGGGCCGCGGGGACACTAAGCCCCGAAATTATCTCAAGGTAACGATTGATGAAGATTAAGCCACCCAAGAGGTGGCACGGGCATGAATAGCCCGTAAACTCAAGGTAACCTTGCTGTGCCGCTTATTATGGTGTCGTGTAGCCTGAGGACAGGTGAAGGCAGGGAGACGGGCCAGCGTCTGCTGTGTGTAGTTGATTGACGAAGATTAAGCCATCCAAAAGGTGGCACGGGCATGAATAGCCCGTAAGTGGTGGCCCTTTTGAGCCATTACCAGTATCAAAAGCTGATACTGGAGATCTGTGGAGGTGCGACTGCACCCTGCGTGACGGGAGATGTCTCCCGTGTGTGTGTAGTGTTGTTGTTGTTGTTGTTGAGTTAGGGGCGACGACGATCGTGGGATCGGATGCGCCCCGGCGTACCCGTGAAGGGTGAATCGCAAAGCCAGGAAAGGCGAAATGCTAAGCCAAAACGCGAAACGAGTGACGCCAAGCACTAGAAACTAATATGCCACACGGCAAAGCTACGCACAAAGGGAGAGGCAGAAGCACATAACAGAACAGGGCAAACAAACAGCCAGAAGGGCACACAGCATGTCATAGAGCAAATACACAAGAAATCAGAGCACATACTTGCCCGGGAACTTGGCCCGCGGGAATCTTACATTGAACGCCTCCCAGAGCACCCATTGCCAAGGGTCTCGTCCATCCACCGGGGACGCCATAACATCCGGAACCGGGGCAACAAACACCTGCAAACTGGGGACCCAGATGGTAGAACTCATGAGGCGAGAAGTCGCCACTCGCCCCCACAGGAAGGGAACTTGCCCCCCACGAAAGCACTCCGGTCCGTCAGACAGCAGTAACTCGGCAATCTTCGACCAGTGACCCGGTGGCATCACAGACGCCGGCAACACGTCCCCCAGGGCCCCAACGCGCACCCGCACCACAGGGGTACCCGCGGCCCCGGGCACACCACCAGACGACAGCAGGGAACCCGGACGGCGCGCATCCTTCCGTAACGTCACCACCAGGCCACGCCCAGCACCAGAGTCCACACCATCCCTGGCAGCGGAAGCCACCACCCCCCACTGCGGAGAGTCCCCCGGCGGAGAAAGAACCGAAGGCACGTCCGAGACACAGGCACCAGCACCAGCAGGCACATGGACCTCCGCCACCACGAACCGCGGAGACATCGACGCATCCGTATCCACACTGTCAACATCCGAAGCCCTACAGTCACTGAAGTCACCAACGTCGGCCCAGGAAGAAGACGAACGCCGGGAACGTTTGGGCACCGGCCGGATATCGTCCGAGCCGGTAAGTGACCCAGAAACACGGGTACCACGAGCCGAAGGAACCGACGCCAGGACGGCAGCAGCCTCTACCACAGGAGGAACCGGGCCACACACAGCAGGAGGCTCCGCAGTCACCCCAGCACCAAGCACATCCGGGACCCGAGTCACGGACACAGGGCCAGGCGCAGCATCAGAAGACGAGGGAGAAGACAGCGACGTCACACAGGGGGCTCCAGGAAGGCCCATGGGAGCAGTTGGAACAGCAACAGGATCAGGCAGACCAACCGACGGTACCTCAAGAACCGGAGGAGGGACGGCAACAACCGGAGGAACGGCAGGCGCCGCCGGGGAAGCTGCAGCAGCAGACGGGACGCGCACCACCTCATCAACATCACCGGAGACAGCCTCCAGAGGGAGCGGCGGGAAATCCTCGTCGCGGAACAAGTTGACAGGAGCAGCAGGGGCCTCAGAGCATCCGGCAGCCTGATGCCCCAACAGGCCACACCGGAAACAGGTACGAGGCTGCCGGGCATAATACACCCGGACGTAGTACCCCATAAGCCGGACAGAAGAAGGTATATCCGACCGCAGGCGCATCCCCAACGTGCGAATGTTTGTACGCCTCCCAGCATACCGCCCCGAGGAGAGCGTGTTCACCCGCACGCTGACAACAGTACCAAAACCCCCGAAGTAACGCCGGAGGAGGTCATCAGGGAATTCCAGGGGCGCACCATGGATACTGACATAAGTCAGGGCACCACTGCGGTCCGAAATCGCCACAGAGCCGGCATCGTCTGGCAACGGCAACGTACGCCCCTCGTACCGACGGAGGAAGTCCCGGTACTCGTCCTCCCCCACGAACTTAATAACAACCCGATGGGCCGAAACTAGCTCCACACCGTAAACAGCTTCCACCGGAACACGAAGCATGTCACACATCACCATCTCGATGGTCGGATAACCAGCCTTACAAGTAAACTCCAGGCCCACGGAGTTCACACGCTGAACAGGAGGAAGATGGCCCCCCATGTCAGAACTGCCACGTCAACGCAGCCAGGCAGGCAACAAAACTGGTAGGGCAATGACGCCCACACCACCTGGCGACCAAAACAGCAAACAACTCCAACAGCCACGGAGGGTCGAGAAACGTCCTCACTCCACGGCTGCCAACAGTCGACTCGTGTGTGTGTAGTGTCTCGGGAGGTGTGGTGGGTTTGTTTATACCCCCGATGGCTTTACCTGTTGTCTCCGGCATGCCTCTTATGGGTACGATATATATTGTTCGCCCATATGTGAGTTACTATACGTTCCCTCTCTTGCACTTTGATACGAGTGCCCGCGGTCCCCTACAGTTGCTGGCATAGTCTCCTTTGCGCTTCCTGTTTTATGACATAAGGCCTTGGCCCACCCAACCACTTTGGCTGGACGGTAGGGCGAAGGTCGGCGTTCAATCCCCGACCGTCCAAGTGGTTGGGCACCATTCTCTCTCTCTCCCCCCCCCCCCCCGTCTCATCCCAAATCCTTATCCTGAATCCTTCCCGGTGCTATATAATCGTAATGGCTTGGTTGTTGTTATAGATTCAGCTACTCGGAACAAGTTCCAAGTAGCACGGGCTATGGTGAGCCCGTAACTTACCTGGCACAGGAGCGGGGCAAATAGCACGGGCTATGGTGAGCCCGTAGTGGACTTAACTGGCACTGGAGCGGTGCTGAATGTGGTCAATGGCTTGGTACTTTTAGGTTAATTTGGTTCTGTTGTCAATTATTTGTATTCGCAGTGATGAACTGTTTCAGCAACATTACCGGTCCGTCTTGTGTGTGTGAGGTGTTTTCCATTCATAAACAGTGTTTGGTGCATGTTTGCTGGCTGGATTAATGGACATTTATCGAATGTGTGAGGACGAGCTGCGTCCGAAGCCTCGAAGTTTCCTGTTTTGGTTTGTAGTCCCTACTGTGTTTCATCGATTCGGCACTTAAGATTCCTTGCTCGCTCGGCCGGTTGCTGCCCCCAAAACACCCTTTGGTTTTCAGCTGTGCAGGTGCCAGTGTGGGTAAGTCTGAAGGCTGATGATGCCTGGAGATGTTGCCTGGAGACTTTGTTCCCAGGGCTCGTGTCGTCCCTTCTGTGCTTGCCAATTAATCTTGACAACTGTGTTGCCAAAACCAACCTCTGTAAGGTTATTAAGGCCACCATAATAGTTCACTGACCAACCATCAAGTATACTTTAGTCCTGAAGATTGTCCAGGACTTAGACTCAACTCTGTGTATACACAGAGAAGCGGGACACTCCGTCCGTTGTTCATATGGGACCCCACCTATATTATGTTTATTTTAGGCACCAGAGTCCCTAGTTTATGCCTATTTTAGGCACCAGGGTACCTAGTTTATGCCTATTTTAGGCACCAGGGTACCTAGTTTATGCCTATTTTAGGCACCAGGGTACCTAGTTTATGCCTATTTTAGGCATCAGGGTACCTAGTTTATGCCTATTTTAGGCACCAGGGTACCTAGTTTATGCCTATTTTAGGCACCAGGGTACCTAGTTTATGCCAGGTGGACGAAGGTATTAGGCGAAAAGAAACATGCCCATAAAGTACTGTGATGTAGTGTTATGACAACACCGTCGGAGCGTGGCTTTTTATACATCTAAAAAATATAGTCTTGTGAGGGATAACTATGTGAATCAGTGCAATACTTGTGTAAGACAAACATAAGTTAATTTTAAATGTTTATTTGAAACTTTTCTGACTACCAATTGTCAAAGCGGCCACTGCTCCAACTAATCAATGATAGTATGGTATCAAATTATCCAGTACTCGCAACAGGGTATATAATCCTTCCTAAGTCCCTTTCCTTCTGCTTCTAAGGATGCTAAGTTGTACCTTAGCAAAACGCAAGAGGCCCTGCACTTAAAGAGTGTACAATTTTAATTTTGTTGACTAGATTTTTCAAGAACGGTTGGTCACGATTTTCACCCGATGCCTCATGTGGTGAAAGGAAACTTGCTCAACGTTTGTTCTGACCAGGGAGTGAACCTGGGTGTTTCGAGGGAGAGTCGTGGACGTATACCACTGTGCTACAGGACCCTAGATAATAGTGTAATATACTGGCAATATTTAACGTTGTAAACCGTATCGGGCTTATTTAAGACTTGCCCGAAACACTATGAATGTTGGTGGCTTTACGGGAATATACTGTTTAAGAAAATATATAAACAAAAATACAGCTTATATTTATGATAAGTCGCAACGTAGATTTTCGAATGTTATTGCCAATGACTATTAATCATTATTGGAATTTCATATATCAAACAAAATCCAAGATTCTAGTTAAATATTTGCTGACATGTGACTCACTACAGAATTTCAGGATCAGCTGTTTACACACGCGTTGCCATGACAACGCGGACGGGCAGCGTAAGCTGTGTGCTCCTCCGCCCAAGGCAGCCATTCATCTACAAAACAGAAGCTTGCTCAAACGATCATATTTGGATAGATAAACATCATCAGTTTCCATAATGCAATATTTTGAAAGAGAATAACAGTTGCGAATGAACGGTTTTGTTGGACGAAGTGCGAGGAACTAGTTTGACGGTGGAAGGGATGAGACTGCAGCGGGTCGGGTCAGCTGTGTGAGACAAACAATGGTGGAGGGAGGACCACAGGTGGCGCACCTCCCGCACTGACTTGAACGTGGCGTTGCAATCTCCCTTAACGGTATTGTCAACATGGGTGACAAGGGGGAAGGCATCACTGAGATAGACACTCACATCACCAAGAAGTACGAGATCCGTCGCAGGATTGGCAAAGGGGTGAGTGTTAACTTTACATTTATAAAAGTGAATTGCCTTTGTTTTTCCAGAGTCCACCCGGCCTCTGGCAACTGACTGGTTGTCAACTTATATTTTACGTGAACCATTTATCTGCCAGGAGGTAATTGCCTGACTTTTTCGTCTAAGAAAGTGTGTGAGGATGCTGTTAATCTTGGGATATATAAAATTTAACCGTAACGCTGATCTTAATCTTCGAGGTTTCTTCGACTAGACAAGGCAGAATTCTGAGTTTTGCAAGTGACTTATCAACCTGTTTGGTGGGTCGATGCCCAGGGCATGGCCATACATACCCACTCCTACAACGCTTAGATATTATGAGACTTAGAATAGACCCCCTTTTGTGTACAACTGTTGCTTAACCATTGGGGGAGTGGTATTAAAGTTGATGTAAATATTGGATGGAAAAGTTTGCGAGACGTTGAGGTGCTGGTGCCTGTTGTCCTGGCCCTAGCGATGGATGGCAAGAATTGGCAAGTGAGGAATGTATACCATGTGAGCATTGCCCCCAGGGGCCCTGGCTGGGCCTCGGCCGCCCCCAGGGGTCTCTGGCTGACCCTCGGCCGCCCCCAGGGGTCTCTGGCTGACCCTCGGCCGCCCCCAGGGGTCTCTGGCTGGCCCTCGGCCGCCCCCAGGGGTCTCTGGCTGGCTCTCGGCCGCCCCCAGGGGTCTCTGGCTGGCCCTCGGCCGCCCCCAGGGGCCTGGCTGTCATGTTAATGTTTCTGTTAAGTTGTCTCCTATATGGTCATTAGACACAAAGTACATTATAAGCACTGCATGGTATAATAATGGATATCTTTGGGCGAGATCACACCAGCTAAATTAGTCTAGTTGAACACGGCCAGCTTGGTAATGTTACTTTGTTATAAACATAAAGCAATAGGCCTAATTGTCATTATAATTTCCATTGTCGAGGGACAGAAAGCCCGTGTATACCAGTATATACACTTCAGGCTTTTATCTTATCCCTCTTCCCCATGGTTATGCTACTGATCACCCTCATGATGCAACCCACAACAGTTACCCAACTCTCGGGGTACCTATTTTATGCCAGGTGGACGGAGGTATTAGGTGAAAGGAAACATGCTCAACCATTTGTCCCGCAAAGAATCGAACCCGGGACATTCCTGATTGTGACTAGAGAACAAAGCCAAGATGCGCCTTCTAGTAGGTCTTGCGATGAAAATTTGTAAATTCATATTTTATTTTGTAACAATGAAGATGTAGATAACCCCGATAACCGGAATGAGTTTTCGATTAGGCTTAATTAAAGTGAATATTTCAGTATCTGCCCAGAACGCCATGAGTTAGTGGCTTTGCAGGAATGTAAGAACACCAGTGTTATGGTCTCTCACACACCCACTGTACCTATTTCTATATAATCAGAGGCGATGGTATTGTAATTATGGTCAATATTATATTTACTTCGAAATAGTTGTTGATTGTGTGACTGCTAATATTCAAGGCTTTTATACATGACCGTCATTTTCATTTTATTATGGCTCCTGAACATCAAATAAATTAGTATAGTGTATTATAATACGGGAAGATGCCATGAATACTTGAGACAAGAGTGGTGGTAATGTAGTGTGAACATTTCCAGGCCCCCACACGCCACCACTCCCACTGGCCCAGGTGAACAGATGTTTGGGAGGAGGTGGAGGAGATTGTCGCCCGCGGCACTGTTGGGTCACAACAAGCCAGCCTCGCACACACTCACAGCTTCCTCCTCCCCATCCCCACAATTCCACAATTTTTTATATTGATATATACAAGAGTTGTTACATTCTTGTACAGCCACTAGTACGCGTAGCGTTTCGGGCAAGTCCTTAATCCTATGGTCCCTGGAATACGATCCGCTGCCGCGAAGAATCGGTTTTTCATCCAAGTACACATTTTACTGTTGCGTTAAACAGAGGCTACAGTTAAGGAATTGCGCCCAGTAAATCCTCCCCGGCCAGGATACGAACCCATGACAGCGCTCGCGGAACGCCAGGCGAGTGTCTTACCACTACACCACGGAGACTAAATTCTGACACTTGCATTCAATGATGTATAAGAAGGCTTCCCTAATGTTCCCCTGTGATTGTTTTGGCTATTTGGTATGCCTCGGATATTAATGGGGTGTTGGGTAATGATCACCTGGCTTCGTTTTTGACCCACAATTGGGCATCCCGGGTTTGATTCCTGGACGGGGAAAAAATAGTTGGCACAATTTCTTCCCTCTAAGGCTTCTATTCACCTAGCAGTAAAGAGGTATCTGAGAGTTAGACGACTGTTGTGGGTTACAACCTGGGGAGGGTTAGGAGCCTTGGGAGGACCTAGAGGCAATTTTTTAAAGTAAATAGACACGCGCTTCTTGTCCCCGACAAAATGAATTAAATTATAATACTGAGTGGGGAATATTAGGAGTAAAAATAAAAAGTGATATGGATTTCAGACAGACCTTAAATTTTCTTATGACTTTAGTTATGTTGAGACTTGACTGTTCACCGATTTCGCAAAAATAAAACCTTCGAAACTACAGTAAATTTCTAGGGAGACAATGAATAGTAAATTTAAAATCAAATAGTTACTGTGCAGGTAAACGCTTGTCTTAATCCTTATTTACAAAGTTGAAATTGCTAATTTGATTTTTAAAGGGGTTTGGGATTAACTATTAGTAAGATTTTACAAAGAAAGCAAAGCAAAAATGTTCTATATATGGGCAATAGAGTACATTACATCTAGTGCAATATTTCGTATCTAGAAGCGTCGGTAATATAAAATATCCTTCAATATTATCTTTCCCTTGAGAGAACCATTTACATTCAGTTGTCTTGGAAATATTTGAAGATGACAGAGGTAAACAAGAGCCCTCTATATGCCGAGTAGAGAAACTCAAATATGAGTGGAGTTTATGGGTAAACGTTTTACCCATAAGAAATATATTAGCTCCAAGACGCCTACAGCCTCACTCCTGTGCCAGGTAAGTTCACCATAGCCCGTGCTCCTTGCAACTTTTTGTTCACTGTAGCTGAATCTAAAACAGCATCATCGGAGACACGGGGCTAGTTACTGTACCTGTAAAAGGAGGTAAACACCACTTTAATCCTTCACGCTTGTACTGGTTTTCACATGGTAGGCTATACACACTGTGGGCACGGCTGAATCACACGCAGATTTTCATGGTATTAAGAAATGTTTTGTCAGTTAACTGCATTAATTATACGTAACAACTGGATCCAACGAGAAAGACCACGGCTAATGCCCAATTAAGTTTTTATTTGTATCTGAACAAAATCCACAATCTTTCCCTAGTCAAATTCTTGCACCTGGAAATAGTAAATTGGTAAAAAACAAAAAACTGGCCAGTCAATCTGAGCTTTCTGACGTGTGGACAAAAAGGTCGTTGGAAGTGTTGACGTGTGGACAAAAAGGTCGTTGGAAGTGTTACCAGTTTTTATAGTTGTCGCTGTGGGTGTTCGTCCCCAGTCTTCCCGATATAAAGGGAATTTAAACCCAGATGTAATTATCTCTTAAAGTTTACTACTCGAGTTTGTTGGCAATTCAAGTATTCTTGGTTATAATGGATATTGTGGCCTTAATGAGGCTGCCAGTCCACAGACAACCTAATTATCTTACCAGTGGAGTGGGCAGAAACCGCGCATTGCCCCGTCGACAGTGCCTATATTTTAATTTGTAATTTAATCAGCATATGTAATAAATACAATATTAGAGCCACACAGTATATCTGTAAATACAACAATGCTGCATGTGTACGCTCACGAAGGTCAGTATTCAGGGTTAACAAGAGTTTAATGCTAACGTAGTTTATGTTGAGATATGTGCGGGTAGATTTTAAATGTCAGACGAGGGCAGAAACGGATTGAGGGAGCGTAAAAAAAACATGAACACATCAAACCCACCGAGATGAAGAAAACGTAATTAAACCATAAAATGATCAAAGCTTGTAGGTCAATAAGTAGCTTGTAGGTTGTAAGCTTGTAGGGATATAGAAAAAATTATAATAATTTTTGATCATGTCTTGTTCTAATTATCAATTCATCCTAATCCATCGATTAGGAATAATGGTGGTTTTGGTGTTGTGACAAAGGTATATAAACTGGGGAGAAGGTGGAGGGCTCTACGGGCTCACCATAGCCCGTGCTACTGGAACTTATCGTTCTGAGTAGCGAATCTTAAACAACAACAAGTGGAGGGCTCGCCCACATCGGGCTGTGGGTGAGCCCATTACGGGTTCACCACAGCCCTCGCTACTGGAACTTCTAGTTCTGAGTAGCTGAATCTAAAACAAGAAGGTGGAGGGCGGGTGTGTGGCGAGGCGCGGGCTGTGGAGGTAAAGGGAGGAAGGCAACCATTACATAATCAATATTTTGTACAGTCACATGCCCCGCCGGACACTGACTTCAACCCCCACACGCTGGTCTTGTGGCGTTTTTGTGCACGCCCGCCTGCCTGCCTGCGTGAGTACGTACATGTGTGCCCGTGGCGAATGCTGGCATCCGTCGCAGTGTGTGTGTATCCTGTGTTCATCACGATTTGCAACACTTTTGTATTAGCATTATTACATTGTAATTCGCGAGGATTAAATTTTGTGCCTACATGCAGTGTGCTAGCTTACCTTTTTTTTTTTTATGAGGGGTTAATAATTTGATTAAAATAACATAATCCTTAGATGTGAAAATGGCGCATATATTAACAGAATTGTTTCGCGAGACTGTCATGTTAGCTTTAAATGCATTTCAACAGTAAATTTGCAAGGACAAAAAAACTAGTAACCCTTCATAAAAATGTTATTTGTCATGTGTTTAGTAAAGGATAGATACTAAGAGGCATCTGGGACTGGCGCGTGACACGATTGATTGATGTTGACCCACGAACCCAATAACTATACTTGATGAACTTTTTCAGTAAGGATAATTACAAATCTATCTATTCACGGAAGTGAATATATAAACTGACCTCATAAACAAAGGCCA